CAGTTAAAGTTTGACGAAGGGTGGCGAATGACTTCAACTCTGTGGAGACGAACGTGGCCAACTGTTGAACAATTGGTTCCAACGTTGTCTTGGTTGTAGCAGCACTCTCCTGTAAAGATTGTAACAGGGCAGAGGCGTCCGAAAATAGTTTATCAACTTTTTCGGTCGCAGCCTCACAAGCTTTCGTGGAGGTGTCAATGGCTGCAGTGGCAGAAGCGACGGAATCATGCTGAGCCCTGGAGAAGGCATCAACAATCTTCTGAAGAGAAATAAGCAGGTCAACCTTCTCATGCAGCTCCTTAAGATGCTTCTTTGTTACTGGAGCTTCCTCATCGTCGTCGCTTTGGACCTGAAACGGACTGTAGTAGACCGAATCGAAGGTCATATTTTCCCCTCCAAGGAAAGGGTTATCTCCATCAGAGGCATGACCTGGAGATGTTGGGGGTGGTGAAGCTGGGGGTGTTGTGGTATGAGTAGGTTCAGGTTGAGTGTGAGTAGGGGTAGTTGCGGGTGGTTGTTGAGTTTGCGTAGGTTCGGGTGGTGGTTGGGTTTCGGTTGTGTTCATAGGTTCGGTTACAGGTGGTGGTTCGGTTGCATCGGTATGAACCCCCATATCAGATACGTTGGTTGTAACCTTTGCAGTTGTTGTTGTTGTTGTATTGGTGAAAATGGGTGGTGGTATAGGGAAAGAGGTTTTAGGAATTGTGGTAGAGGGGTTTATGGTGGGAATGGAAGTAGGAATTGTTTGAGTGGGAGAGGGAATTGGTGAGATATGGATCTTTTGTCCTATTTCACAATCCAAATGAAGCTGAGTAATATTTGATTAAAGACGTTTAGCAATCAGACAAAACACATTTCGTTGTTTCAAAAGCTTTAAATTATCTCTTTGTAAATAAATGTTTTCATCTTTTATTTTGATTAATTCCGACTCCTTCAGTTCGATCCACATCCGTCGTTCCTCACTCTTCGAAGACACCCTGCTTAATTGGTCAGTTAGGTTAGAATTGGTGACTCGAGTTTGAGTTAAACTACTATCTAGATGAGAGATACTTGAATTAACACTTTTTAGTTCTTTTTCATATGAGCTTTGTGGGACTTTAAATGAGACAAAGACGGATTGTACCTTCTTGATCAGTTCATCGAGCTCGTTGAACTGCACGCTGAGCGGTTTGGCTGTAAAGCACAAGTTCTGTTGCTCCTTCGGTTTATTATCCCCACCATCAGTGTTGTATCCCCTCATCTGAGATACGTCAGACACCATCAAGCATCTTCCTCCACTGCTTTCTTTTTTAGCCACACAAGCCTTTCCATGAGAAGGCTTCCTCACTTCATCATCTTCAGAGTCGGTTGACCAGACCTCCACGCCACCGAACTCGTCATCAGCAACCGAACCCTGCACAATTAGAGCATTCATAGAAGGGTTAGCAGTAGATTTCTTCTTCCTGATCTCATCAAGCTTTTTCTGCAGCAATGCTTCCTCATCCTTTTCAGCCATCTTTTTGAGGACACAATCCTTTGCATAGTGGTTCTTTCCTCCACAATAGTAGCAGCTTACTCCAGAATCACCTTCTGCCTTCGGTTCCTTCTTAGACTCTTCAACCTTCGGTTCATCTTTAACTTTTTCAGAACTATAACTCCCCTGCCAGTTTTGGTTTTTGTTGGAGGGAAATCTCTTCTTGATGAACCTCTTGGGGTTAGACACCATCATAGCATAATCCTCAGACGTGAGGTCATAATCCTCCAAGTTGAGGTCTTCATCCTCCATCACAGTTTTACTTTTGGACAAGAGGGCTAACGAACCTAGGCTTGAAACTACATTCTTCTCCTGAGATTTCAAGATGCCCACCAGTTTCGCCAAAGAATATGATTTAAATTACTCGTGGGCTTTAACTGTGGACACAACTGCTCTCCACTCTGATCTGAGACCATTCAAAAACGTAACCTTCTGCTCAATAAGCTTCCTTTCGATGTCATGTTTGATCATCTTGCTAAGAAGATGATTGAAGCGATCGAACGTTTGGGTCACAGTTTCTTCGGCTCCTTGCTTGAATTCACCAAACTCAGACAAGAGTAAGGTTTGAATGGAGTGTTCAAGATCTTCGTCTGTAGAGTACAATTCACGTAGCCTGTCCCAAATCTCTTTTGTTGTCGTGCATGAACTCACCAGCCTGAATGTATCGGACTGAAGGGCGAATCTGATCAATCTTAACGCCTTGATATTGCACTGAAATTTATCTTTTTCATCTTGCGCAATATCTTTAACATCTTTCAGAAGATCATTGTACTCCTTTTGAGTTTTAATAATCCTTGAAGTTGCAGAATGAGAAAACGGTCCAGAAACAATTGCTTCCCAGATGAGGTATCCATTATCCTCAGATCCTATAACATAATCTTCAAAGTGATGCGCCCAGACTTCATAATCATGGGTGTACAGGATGGGAATCTTCGTGGTTGATCCAATGTTGTTCGAAATATTGATGGGATTCGATTACGACTCGTCCATAATGATCAAATAACCTGTTCAAAGATCAGACTTGTAATAAATCAGATTAGGGCAAAACAATAAATATTGAGATACGTCAATAATGAGATGACGGCTCAATAAATATCAATAATTGCGGAATAACCCTAATCGAAACCTTTTTCACAGAAAAGAAGTGTATCGATTACACAGCCTCCTGCTCTGATACCAATTGATAAGTTTAAATCTAAACTTGAAGATCGATTAGATCTATAAAACAGGTAAAGAAATAAATAAACAAACAGCAAGAACACTCGAATGAATCAAACGTGTCGAATGATTTATAAACAACCCTCAAAAGAGCTCGATAAAGAACTTCTACTGTAGAGGATTAAAGGGTTTACAAGAACGATGAAAGAAAGTATTTTGTGATCTATCGTAATGCTATCAATCGATCTATCAAACGTTAACCTAATATGCATGCAAGCACATTATTATATACTAAACCCTACAGCTCACGGTTGGACAGGCCCAAACCGGAGATCAAAACATTGGACTATTAACCGAGCTCAATGACGCAATACAAAAACTAATCTGCTACCCAACATATTTTTTATAATTTTTTAATATATATATATATATATATATATATATATATATATATATATATATATATATATATATATATATATATGGTTAGGTTATTTTGTTTTCACTATCTATTGTGTGCATGTATGATTCATTCTGGACCAATCATTTTAGTTATTTTAAGAACGTAATTAATGCATATTACATGTTGAAGATATAATGGATATTAATTACATCTTCAGCATTTAATATGCATTAATTACTTTCTTAAAATAACTAAAATGATTGGTCCATAATTAATCATACATGCACACAATAGATAATGAAAACATTTGAACCTAAGTCTATATATATATATATATATATATATATATATATATATATATATATATATATATAATTTAATTAAATATTATTAGAAGTGAAAAAGAAAAAAAAATCACATTTTCTAACCATTTTCCAATCAGAGAAGGAGAGAGAGTGCGAAGAGGCTATCCCGTCTGGAAAAACCCTTCACCTAAACCGCACCTATGATGTGGTGATCTTTGATACTGTTCTAGTCCAATCAACAAACCAGAGTGTGCGGTTGCACCCACACTGTCCGGCTATAACACATATTTTTTTCTTTTATAAAATTGTCTTTCTTTTACTCCAAAATTAGTCCTGAATTTTTTAATTTTCTTTTACAAAATCATTGTTGTAAGATTTCTTTTTGTTTCATTTTTCTTTTATTCTGGAAACTTTTTTTTACATAAGTTTGTTTTTCCAATAAAAGTTAGGCTTCACAATTTTACACAAATTCTTCTTTTACATGGTTTTTTTTCATATATTTTTTTTTATAGGAAGAACACAAATGCAAGACTTTAGTCAATAAAAGTTCCCACCCATGGTAGGTATGACATTTTTGAACTTCAAAAAAAAGACTTTAAAACACTAGAATGACAATCATTGTTTTCATATGAAGGCTAGCTCTATTCATTGTAAAAGTAAGTAAGTAAAAAAAAAAAAAAAAAAAAAAAAAAAAAAAAAAAAGACAAAATGGTATGGGAAAATGGATGCTAAACTTCGGAAGATTATATGAGGATATTTTAATGGAGTGATTCTTTTCTTTTCTTGTAATGTGGTTTCTTGGGTTGCAAAGCAAAACATTTGGAGAACTTTTGTATTTGGGGGGTTATGCTTTTCTTTAGCATCACAAAATGTGAGGTATACAATGTATTATAGTTTTTACGGACTTTCCTTAAACAACTTTTGATTCTAAACACTAAACAAATTTTGTCTTAAAACATATTTACAATAAGACTTGTAGAACATAGAAATGAATTTTAGAAAACATATAAAAAAATTTGTGTAAAAAACTGTGAAAATGTATTCTTTAAAAAATACATTATAAACTAATTTATAAAAAGATTAAAAAACTAGAAATTTATTTTTCAAAATAAAAATAAAACAAAACAGATATATCACAAAAACAAATTTGAAAAAAGCATTTAAAAATTCAACACAAAATCGATAATAGAAAAATAAAATTAATGGTAAATTTATATAATAAAAAAAAAAAAAAAAAAAAAAAGAAAGAATATAAATCTCGAAACATGCTATTGTAGGTATTTTTCTGGATATTAAACTAGAAAAAAGAAGAATTTTAAATACAGTTAAAATAATTGATTGGTTATTAATATTGCTATCGCATTTGTAAATATACAGGATGATGTGGCAGTGTTTTGGTCAATGAGATCGAGAATGTTTTGAACTATACGTCCACGCCAGCACCGATATACATTTTTTTCAAATATTTTTCTCCCTTTTCATCTGAAAAAGCAAAATTATAAATACGTAAGTTTTCACATACTCACTCTACCCTTTTGCCTTTCATCTGCAACTTAAATTTTCATCGCTTGAAATCAAAACTCTCATTAAAGAGACGATCTTTCCTTTTTTCCAAAACTCAATGGCTGAAATAGTTGTTAGCGCCGTCATCACAGTGCTGTGTGAGAAGCTGATCTCCGGTGACTTGATAAAGCTGGCTAGATCAAAAGGGATCGATTCTCATCTAAACAAATGGAAGAAAAACCTTCCCCTGATCCAAGCCGTGCTTGCTGATGCAACCCAGAAGGAGATTAAAGAGAGAGCTGTTCAACTGTGGGTGAACGATCTCCAGGAATTGGCTTACGACATAGATGATGTACTCGATGATTTGGCCACCGAGGTTATGCGACGCAAGTTGAATCAGGAAGCGCATGCCACCACCAGCATTGGTAAGGTAATGAAGTTCTTCCCAAATTGCTGTACTAAATTCTCTCCTCGTAACATTATGTATGGTCGGAAGATGAGTTCAAAGCTAGATGAGATCACCACCAAATTGCGTGATCTTGTTGACCAGAAAAATGACCTGGGTTTGAATGTGACTGATGAAAGGTCAACTCTAGAGAGACGGCTTGAGGAAAATTCACTGGTTGATGAGTCCAAAATCATGGGTCGGGAAGGGGATAAAGTGACATTGATGGGTAAGTTGTTGGGGAATGAAGAATGTGATGAAAATGTGAGCGTAGTGTCGATAGTTGGAATGGGTGGGATAGGAAAAACCACTCTTGCCAAAGTTTTATACAACGATGAGAAAGTGAAGGATCACTTTGATCTCAGAGTTTGGGTTTGTGTTTCTGAAGAGTTGGATGTATTTAACATTAGCAAGGCTATTTTTCAAGCAGTAACTGGGAAAAACGAAGATTTTGCTAATCTTAATCTGCTTCATGTCGCCCTCAAAGAAAAGCTTTCAAAGAAGAGGTTCCTACTTGTTCTAGATGATGTCTGGAACGAAGACCACAAAAAGTGGGAACTCCTCCAAAGCCCTCTTCTTGCAGGGGCACCTGGAAGTAGAATTATTGTCACAACCAGGAGTACCAGGGTTGCATCGGTGATGGACTCACAAGAAACTTACCCTCTGGACGTTTTGTCAAATGAAGATGCTTTATCATTATTTGCTCAACAAACGTTAGGTGAAAAAAGCTTTGATAAACATCCAACATTTAAGTTGCTTGGTGAAGGTATGGTTCAAAAATGTGGTAGATTGCCTTTGGCTTTGAAAGCACTTGGGAGGATCTTGAAGGGAAACAGGAATGGTGATGAGTGGGAGGAGTTGTTGAAGAGTGAGATATGGGATATAGATGATGGAAGTGATATTCTTCCGGCTCTAAGATTAAGCTACTATCACCTCCCTCCACATCTGAAGCAGTTGTTTGCATACTGCTCCTTAATTCCCAAAGACTATGTGTTTGACAAGAATAAGTTAGTCCTATTGTGGATGGCAGAAGGATTTTTGCCCCAATCAAAAGGAAACAAGTCAATGGAGTGTTTAGGTCATGAGTATTTTGAAGAGCTAAAGTCAAGGTCCTTTTTTCAACATTCAACGGACGATGAATTAGGATACACAATGCATGACCTGATGAATGACTTGGCCAGAAGTGTTGCAGGAGAGTTTTCCTTTAGATTGGATGGTGAGGTTGATGTATCTGCCATGAATGAAACTTTTGATAAGTTTCTTCATTTCTCACTTATAGGTTCAGGATCTGGATCATTTAGAAAGCTCAAGGAATTACAAAGAGCTAAACGTTTGCGAACTATCTTACTAATCTCAGTACCTTGGGAAATTGATAGCTTATTGGACGAATTACTTCCTGAACTACAGTTCCTGAGGGTGCTAAGTGTCGTGGGCTTGACTCCGAGTGATTACCCATGGGAAGAAGATATTCTTTCAATCAGAAAGATACCAGAATCCATTGGTAGTCTCAAGCATCTACGGTATCTTAATTTTTCAATCAGAAAGATACCAGAATCCATTGGTAGTCTCAAGCATCTACGGTATCTTAATTTTTCGAATACTAAAATCACAAGTTTACCGGAACAAGTGAGTGACCTTTATAATCTACAGAGTTTGTTGGTTCAGGATTGTTCTGAGTTATCCAGCTTGCCAAAAAGTTTTGCAAAGTTAATAAACCTTCGACATTTTGGAATAGATAAGACTCCAAAGGTGATCAAGTTGCCCTTAGGAATTGGTGGCTTGACGAGTCTACAAACTCTATCCAAGGTCATGATTGAAGAAGCCAACGGGTTCAAAATATCAGATCTTAAAGAACTATCGGATCTTCAAGGTCGGCTTTCCATTATTGGGCTTGAGAAAGTGATGGATCCAATAGAAGCAAAGGATGCCAACTTACATCAAAAGAAGGGTCTTGAAGTTTTGGAGATGGAATGGAGTGATAATTTGTTTGATGATTCTCGGGATGAGACTGATAATTTGTTTGATGATTCTCAGGATGAGACTGATAATTTGTTTGATGATTCTCGGGATGAGACGATTGAATATGAAGTACTTGAAGAACTAAGGCCTCCTCCCAAGTTAAAAAACCTCATGATTTTGAATAACATGGGAATGAGATTTCCCAGTTGGGTCGGGGATCCCTCGTTTGATCAGTTAACAGAGCTTACGTTATCTGGGTGTAGAAGTACACATTTACCAACACTTGGATGTTTAGGGTCTCTTAAGAAATTGGTTGTTGAAAGCATGAGTGAGGTGAAGAGTGTGGGTTTTGAGTTTCTTGCACCCACTGCTTCTTTTCTTGGCATTGCATTTCCATCTCTTGAAGTTCTGGAATTTTCTGATATGGAAGGTTGGAAGAGATGGTCGATTAATAATGGCAATGAACATGGAACTCCTAGTTCTTTTCCTCGTCTTCATGAGATCTCTTTAATAAGTTGTCCAGAACTATCTCAAGTGTCAATCGGATTGATACCTTCACTGCGGGTTTTATATATTCAAGAATGTTCTGATGTAGTGTTAAGAAGCATGATTGGTTTGTCCTCATCACTTGTTAGATTGAAAATGCTGAATGTTAAAGCACTTAGTCAACTACATGGAGAAGATTTAATGCATCTTGGGGCACTTGAACATCTATATATCAGGAACTGTGATGAACTGAGATACTTGTGGGAACGAGAATCAGAGGCATGCAAGAGTCTTGTGAGTTTACAGAAGTTGGTAGTATGTTACTGTAAAAACTTGGTTTCATCAGCTGAGAAAGAGGACAATTTTGGGAAGAACATGAAATCTCTTAAACAAGTGAATTTCAATAATTGTGACTCGCTGGAGAGTTACAATTGTCCAAATACTGTTGAGAGCTTGGAGATCTATGAATGTAATTCACTGATATCGTTGACCTTCTCAGCATTGCAGGAGCAGCTATCCGGTATCACTGAATCCATAGTCAGTGATTGTGATAACGTACAATTACAGCCCATTCCCATTCCAGTCAAAGATTTCCGTTTTCTCTGTGTGTCTCGCCTAACATCTCTTGAAATCCGTAACTGCAAGAATCTAAAGTCAATCCCTTCTGAGCATTTTCAAAGTCTCACATCTTTGGAAGAAATGCTGATAACTGAATGTCCAAGTATGGACTACTCCTTCCCTTGTGGGGTGTGGCCTCCTAATTTAAGGATGCTAAGCATTGGTGGCTTAAATAAGCCCATGTCAGAGTGGGGCCTGCAGAATTTTCCAACCTCACTAGTTGACCTAGTGTTATTTGGCGAAAATTCAGGAGTGGTTTCATTTGCAGTGGCGGACGATGTGGGGAATACTACTACTACTCCATCATCATCATCATCATCATCATCATCATCATCTTTTCTTCTTCCACCATCTCTCGTTTCTCTATGGCTCAATGGTTTTAAGGATGTGGAATCATTTTCAGAGGTCTTTCAACACCTCCCCTGCCTTAAATATCTTGAAACTACTTCATGCCCGAAGATTGCAGATCTTAAGACAACATTCGGCCCATCAAATTTGACAATAATAGTGTGGTAGTAGAAAAGGTATGTATGTCATCTCCTTGCCCATCATTGCTCTGTTACATAGGTATTAGGAATATCAATTTTGAGACTTGTTTGTTTCGTTGGTTGAGAAGATTATTTTAAATATTTAACCAAAAATCAAAACTTATACTAAAAGAAGAAGAAAAAAAGTTGCAAGTGCAGTAGCAATGAATAGCTTTTCATTTTCTTTTCATAACAACTTTTACCATTAAGTTGCTATGTTTCCATGACTGAATGAATACTTGCATCTTACTGTTATATAGGTTAAAATGTGTTATTTTTTACCTGCATTGTGTTACAAAATCTTTGTGTTTCCTTTTTTATTGTCATATTTTTGTTTTCATTGATATCAGCTTCCAATAACCTTGTCCATTGTTGAAAGAAAAACTAGCAAACATAACAAGACTGCACAATTTGCACTTCATCCACAAACTTTGACATTAACTTTAGGTCAAACCCTATTGTCATTAAGATCTTGACTTTGATAAATTTTGTACAAATTTGGCACTGTCTTAATTCCTTTGTTTGTATTTGGTATACGAATTCACATTTTCTTATAAATTTGTATCAATTGTCAGGTTAGTATTAGTCCATTTTACATTAAAACTTTTTCTGTTAATGTAAAAATACGGTCAAACTATGTATAGAATGACTAATTGTGTTATTTATTTTTTAATTTTTTTGTGATTATCATTTTCTTATTTCTTGGTAATAAGTACCATATATATGGATGATGTAAGTACTATATATTCTAAACTTTTCTAGAAATATATGCCCCAACTTCTTTGCTCCCGTTGGTGATTACTTGAAGAGATTGTTAATGAAATCATTAAAACAATATCCAGTTTTATGCAATCTTGGCATGTTTCTACTAATGACTTTTATTCTTGATCACTCGATTATTCTACAGGTGAAACATGGAGCAGGGCTATCTACACCATGCTAGAGAGGCAATTATATGCTGAATATGCATGAGGAGATTATTACACGGTTGCAGAAGGTGATTCAATTGTAAATACTAAATAGTAAATACGAAATTCATTTTCTAAATCTGGGATAAGTGATGGATGTAACCATGTATTGGTTCGTTGACAGTGCTTGGATGCATAGGCGCTTCCATCAAAGACTGGGGTGCGGGTTTAAGTGTGGTTAGGCTGGTGGGGTCCCACTACGAGCTAGTAGCATTGGTTCTGGGTCTCAGATACAAAAACTTGACTACCAAGGGTGTTGGGGTTTTCAAAAATGGTTGTAAATTTGAATGATTTTGTTGCCAAAAAAAAAAAAAAAAAAAAAAAAAAAAAAAAAAAAAAAAAACTGAATGATCCACAAAACTGAACAAAGTATGAGACTTTTTTATAATTTGTCCTAAAAATTATAAATTTATAATAAGACTTGTTTACGAATTGGTGATATGATTTAGCTTGATAAAAATAAAACTAGAATTAAGACAAAGTTTATACTTACTCTGTCTAAATTATTAAAAACTCTTAGCACTCATGCTTACGTTTTGTTTTGTTATGAACATTTTTTTTATTAATTGACCGAAAAAACATGTATCTCTGTATAAAAAGTGGATACACTTTTGAGATAATGTCAGAGGTCCTATAAACTCTTAACGTTTTTTATTTTTATAGTAAGCCTTGAGGTTTTAAAGTCCATTTTCCCTTGTTAAAAAAGGTCATTTGAAAAAAAAAATGTACGGTTACGTTTGTCATGCCATTAATGAGATAGTTAACACGGGTGAACATTTGTGAAGAATTTATTTTTCTATATATATTTTTTCTATTTTATTTATTTTGAAATTAGAATGGCCCACCCTACCTCCTAACCCCGTATCTTTTTCATCTTCATCCCTATATCATATAGCTGCCTTGGCTTCATATTTTTGTTAAACATAGCAAGAATATATCCATAAATTTAACTTTTTGTGAACAAAGATAATGAATGACCCACAGACATGGTACCACACTCATTTCCATTTTTGCTCCAAAAACTCCATTCTACGCGCAATTGAAACTGCTATCACCGTTATTAATATCATCTTCAAGGTATTCTCTATTCATTAAACATAATTATATGCACCAACATCATACAAGAATGGGCCAAATATAGTGGGCTGAAAATCATGAATGTTAGAGAGAGAGAGAGAGAGAGAGAGCCTCTTTTATTTATAAATATAAAAATTATTAAATAAGTATTAAATCTAAAAAAAAAATAAAGAAAATGGAAAAAAAATGCACCAAAGGCATAACAATCATTTCAATTCTTCGAGGGACCAAAAACACAACAACGAAATTATCACAAAATGACTACGAAGCCAAATAAAATAAAATAAATTAAGGTTTGGACTAAACCTTAGAAAAAATCACTAGTTGATGAGTCCAAAATTATGGGTCGGGAAGGGGATAAAGAGGCCTTGATGGGGAAATTCAAGAGTGCTTCTTTCCTTGTGGGGTGTGGCATCCTAATTTAAGCCAACTAAGGGTAGGAATGTTAAATAAGCCCATATCATAGTCGGGCCTGCAGAATTTTCCTACCTCACTAGTTGATATGTGGTTATTTGGTGAAAATTCAGGAGTGGTTTCATTTGCAGCGGCACAGACAATGTGAGGAATACTACTACTACTACTACTCCATCATCATCATCATCTTCATCTTTTCTTCTTCCACCATCTCTGGTTTCTCTATCGCTCTTTGGTTTTACGGATGTGGAATCATTTTCAGAGGTCTTACCACACCTCGAGATCTCCCATCCTCAGCATTCTCGATGAGTACTCTTGAGATCTGATCCAGTCTAACACCTCAATCCATTTAACATGTTCACTCTAGCTGACGAATCCTCGTTCCCACTGCCAATCTTGCAGTACCACTGAACTCTAATCGAACACAGCCCATGCGAAAACACAATTCTCTTGAACATCCAGTGACCAACCACTTATGCATCTAACATCCGCGACTGACACTATTCTCTTCCTGTCATCAGTTCCGTCCTAGCAACGGTAGTGCCTTGAACTCCAAAGTTCATCCATAAACAATTTCCGACCATACCTGAACAATGATAGAACCTCTGAATGCTGACATCATTAGAGAACAATCGCTCCAACCCTGATCGAGTATCCTCTAAATAATACTCCTGCATAGATCCCGACAAGGATCCAAAATGATAACGGTATGCGCGGAACCCACTCCGCAAGATGCGTCCCTCCTTGGGTTCATCAAGGACCTTTCGGCATGCAGGATGGAATATTTGATCCTTGGTAACCCAAACACTAGCAGAAAAACCGACTCGAGGTCTGACTTATCCAAACTCGCTCACAATTCCAAAGCGGTACGTATTCCAAACATCCACCTAATATCATAGAAGATGACATACCCAAAACATCTGGGGAAATACTGGTCACCTTCTGCAGACATGACCAACCCTGCCACACCTGTAGCAGCCTAAACCCTTGGAGTGACAAACTCCCTCGTGTACTTTCTCGTATGCACTGCACTGACTCAGGCCCTGTCGGCCATTCACTCGATGATCAAAAATCATGGGTCTCTTCCCGAGACCCCTACTATCCGCACCTGGCACACACGTTTCCTTCCAGGGTGCTCCCAAGTCGATCCTGCATCTGCGACTCTTTAGAAATCATATCCTTCAGGGTCTGACACCCTGTCACACTCACTAGCTCGCTTGCCAATTGCTAAGCTGCAACAACTGGAATATCCTCTGTCCCCAAACTGGGTCACAAACTCTTCCCTGAAGCTTCTTAGATTCTCCAAGACTCTCACTAATTCGAGTATGGATCCTATGCTTTCAGTAGTACGGGCCCAATACTACCTTCCACACCTATCCATGCTTTCCTCAGCAATCCTCCCGGATCCTCCAAGTCACTTCCTCAACTGGTACACCCAAGTCTCACTGAACCTCACTACTAACTCACTGGAATATATCCTAGGCTTCCCTAGGTTCTCGTACCCACCCAGTCCTCAGCTGCTGAAAGATTCCCAGTAATGTCAACTAGCTACCTCATGAATATAGCCACATGCAACAGAGATCAGATAATCCTTCGAGTAATAGACCCATCCCTAGAACGGTTGGACTCAAACAAGAGCTGCGCAATAGGGTCAAATCTATCACTCTGAGATTATTCAGTCTGTGCCACATGTGACTTAGCATATTCACTTAATAGTTAGCTCACATTACTAAAAGTCCCACAAGGCACAAAGCAAGCAGCATTCAGACAATGGAAACTCTAACCATCATATTCCAATCAAATCATTCTATCCTCTAATCAGGAATCTGTACATGCAATTCAAAGGCTCATACAATCAGGGCATAACCTAAACAGGCTATCCTATCACTGACTGATCTGTAATAGCATGCAAGTCTACAAGCACATACAATAGGCATATAAGGCATCCTCCTAGATCCTTAGCCCTAATCTAGCATGCAGTTCTCGTAATCATATCATACCATATCACAACATGTATGGGTATCTTGGGGAAAACTTACTTGAGCTCGGCTGATTGCACGCATCACACACATTGTTCTTCTCAAAGTTCTTTTCTCTTTCCAAATTCTTTTCAAACCCCTTTTATAAAATGGTTTTACTTTTGAAAACTTTCATACCAAGCCCTTAGTTTGAGTTCAGACACACCCGAGAGTATGTCTGAATCCCTCAAACCAAGGCTCTGATACCAACTTGTAACATCCCAAAATACAGGCCAAAAATTTTATTTTTAAATACGTCATTATAAAACCAACAGGGTGATAATACATCTGTAATACCATCTCATGTAAAAAACCGAGTAAGAATAATCAAACGTTTTATCATAAAACAATATTAGAGTGTAATCCCAAAGATCTCATGTGCGGAAAACCATAGTGTGATGCGCTGCGATCAAGCCGACTCCTTTCCTTTAAACACGAAGTACCTGAAACCAAAACTGAAAACTGTAAGCACGAAGCTTAGTGAGTTCCCCCATCATACCACATACCATACAATCTATAATGAACAGCTAGGAGATACGGGCCTCGCCCACGCTCATGGAGGTACGGGCCTCACCCACACTCCGCTAGCTGGGAGATACAGGCCTTGCCCACACTCCACTATCTCTGAGATACGGGCCTCGCCCACACTCAGCCACTAAACCATAGCATACAATTATATACAATCATATACTAAACAGCTAGGAGATACGGGCCTCGCCCACACTCATGGAGGTACGGGCCTTTCCCACACTCCACTATCTCTGAGATACGGGCCTCGCCCACACTCAGCTACTATCACAAATATCATAACACAAACATACTATCAGACATATTTGGGGTGTCCGAACTACCCTTCGGTCCTAACAACCGAACTTGGCGACTATTCCCCTCCTACTACCACTATCACATATAACATATCATGCCAACATATAACATATCAGGTGGTAGCAAACCTAGATGATATCACAAAGACAATTATCTAACATACAACTCCTACTGGTGGGCCGGCATTGTGGTCGTAGACCCACCGCTACTGGAAGGTAACTCACCTCACACTGCTGAAGTCCCGACAACACAATCCCATACTTGCTGAAGTCCCGCAGGCTCGACCCCAGCTGCTGGCTGACAGATTCCCGAACTGTCAACACCAAAATAACACCCAATTAATAATTGGGTCCCAATATATAACCATAAGTACATTCTTTGGGTAATTACTACATTACCCCTAGCTTGTCTTATTCAAGCCCAAGGCCCAATCCATAGGCCCAAAGTCAATTAGGAATCAAAGCCCAACACATGGCCCAATTTTCCAAATTGGGCCTAGGCCTATACATGGTCTCATTCTAAGGCCCAACACATATAATCATTAAGGCCCAAATATATCCCATCTATGGCCCAATTTTCCAAATTGGGCCCAAGCCCCTTACATGGGCCTTACCCTAGGCCCGTTAAATTACTCTAGACCATTTGCTTGATCTTGGATAGTCCATTTAATAACCCAATCATCAAAGCCCAATAGAAAGGCCCAACAATAAACCCAAGAAAAATTAGGGTTTCAAATAAAATGATGATTAGGGTTAAGTTTCCTACTTAACCCATTAAGGACTTAATCCATTAAGGACTTAACCCATTAAGTCCAATATTGCTTAGATTAATCTTTGCCAATGATTATTATTTAATATCTCAAGTTATTAAACAATTCTCGTGTGTGTGACATGATTAATTCTTAAAGTTAGGTTTTCATTGGCATTAGGGTGTTCAAATCCAAATATTAGCCCATTTATCAATTTGTTG